ATTGCTTCCGGTTTTGAAAATGTTTGTATTCCTAATTATATTATAATATACAGGGTTGTTCACCACATACGACACGGAGTATTGTAGCTAAACGATTATATTTTTACAAATTTCAAGTTTTGGGTTCGATTAAGGACTATTAGAGGTACAATTTAAAAATAATTTGACAAGATACAGAGTGTCCCAAATAAGTAAAAAATATCAAAGTTGTATTTTTTTAAATGGAACACCCTGTATATTATTACATTTTTAGTTTCTACGATTAAAATAAAGGTAAATTTGATTAAAGTTTATTATACTTAAACCTTACCGTTTTTGAAATATTTTCAATTTTGGGAAATTGCAGTAAAAATTTCAAGGCTTCATTTCTCCAAGGGTATCAAAGTTTTTAATACTAAATATTCACTGAAATTTATTTATTGATCAGTTATTGTGTTGCAATAATAAAAATAATACTACCTTATACAGAGTGTCTAAAAATTTATTTTAAATAATTTCTAGCTTTAAACGCCAATAACTTCTTTAATTTAAATGGTACGCCGTGTATATTTTAGGAGAATCAGATGCACAATTTAATTGTCTATCAAATTGTATTATACCATTTTTTACCTATCCCTTCAAGTTTTCGTAGAAAATGCATTTTCTTATAATTTAGACCCTATTTATCAATATACCCATGAAATATTGACATTTTAGATTGTTTTTAAAGCAACAAATGTACAAAATGTACAGGCTAGTAATATTATCGTTTTTAGCAAAACGATAATATTACTAGCCCATTTGTATGCAAAAAGAAAACTATTTAAATCTTTATAAAAGAGTGTACCATTAATTAAATATAACACCATTATTTCCGCCCATATACTAATTAATTACATACTTAATTGTGTTCGTTAATAAATTATTCTAAATAAATGTGGATTGGAGTCAGAAATCAATATAATAATAAGTTATCAAAATTAAAGTCTCTGTTGTTATAAATAAGTATTTATTAAAAAATGAAATATCATTTTTAAGGTGTTTCTTTTTATCACACTGTCTAATACCCATACAAAATTCAGTTTTTTAGTATTTGGAACAATTATTATTAATCAACGCAAACATTCAGTTAATGTAGTTTGAATACTGGAATCATATTAATTGGTCCTCTTTAACAAATATTTAAACAGTTTTTTTTTATTTTTTAATAAAATAAACAAATTATATCGACTCTTTAAAAATTTGGTACATCTTTAAAAATAATCTAAAATGTCAATATTCCATGGGTATATTGATAAATAAGTTCTAAATTACAAGAAAATGCATTTTCTACGGAAACTTAAAGAGATAGGTAAAAAATGGTGTAATATAATTTGATAGACAATTAAATTGTGCATCTGATTCTCGTAAAATATATAAGGTGTTCCGTTTAAATTAAACAAGTTATTGCCGTTTGAAGCTAATAATTATTTAAAATAAATTTTTAGGCACTCTGTATAAGGTAGTATATTATTTTATTATTGCAACAAAATAACTGATCAATAAATAAACTTCAGTAAATATTTAGTATTAAAAACTTTGATACCCTTGGAGAAATGAAGCCTTAAAATTTTTACTGCAATTTCACAAAATTGAAAATATTTCAAAAACGGTAAGGTTTAAGTATAATAAACCTTAATCAAATTTACCTTTATTTTAATCGTAGAAACTAAAAATGAAATAATATACAAGGTGTTCCATTTAAAAAAATACAACTTTGATATTTTTTACTTATTTGGGACACTCTGTATCTTGTAAAATTATTTTTAAATTGTACCTCTAATAGTCCTTCATCGAACCCAAAACTTACAATTTGTAAAAATCTCATCGTTTAGCTACAATACTCCGTGTCGTATGTGGTGAACAACCCTGTATACTCGTAATAAATTCCTTGAAATAATAATTTCTGAATATTTTTTAAAACGTAACTCGCTATGGAAAAAATATTGTTTTATACATGACGATAAAATTGCATTATCGTCTCCCGAAATTAATTCACTCGCGATTTCATCGCTCGTGAATCAATCTTTTCGGTCGACGATAAAATACCATTTTATCGTCTTGTATAAAAAATAACTATAGTTAATTAAATGGATTAAATCAAAATCACAATATCGTAGACATTTTCCAAGGAAGGTTAAAAACGATAAAATTTAAGTTCCTCGTCTGTGAAAGTCACGGAGGGTTAAACCCTAACCGTGAAAGGGTGTATACCTCGTAGGAGATAGATGTCCACTTCTCGGAGGATAGGTAGTTGTTGTCAGAGGAGGAACTTCATAGTACACACTGAAAATCAAGGGAAGAAGCCGAGATCGACAAAACAATTAGTTGGATGAATGAGTTTTGGTTGCTTTAGTTTGAATATATTTTTTTCGTCGTTCGTTTTTTTATTGTGTCAAATCTTTCTACTCAAGACACTATTACCAACTCACCATTGATGCCACTTCACTATTTCCACTGTTAACAAAAATTACTGTTACCAAAAATACAGCGCTGCTAGATTGTGATGAATTTATAAAATGAATGTTAATTTAAAAGTGACAAACAATATATTTATTATATCATTTTTTAAAGATTTTTACGCTTTATTTTTAATTTAATAACTAATATTTTAGTAATTAATTGATTTATTTGTTTTATAGCTTATTTTACTTATTACATATTGGCAGAAACTAGTCCATTATGAAGATTACTTTAAGCGTTATTATGGGTTATTTATTTATTTATTGATGTACAATCTTATTTTCAACACGCAATTTCAAGAAATGCAACACAAAAAGTCGAAAATTTAGTTCTTAAAAGAACTGTTTGTGCTTAAAAGTACAATTAAAAAAAAGACTATGAAAATAGGCAAAAAATCGAGAATTACTCACAAAGATTCAACAACAGCACGATATTATAAAAAATAATGACTGACATTAGGATAATTGTCAAATAATAAACGACAACCATAGATAAATGCAACAAGTTTAGATTGGAAAGCCCGTAAAAATTTTAGGTCGCAAAATTATTTTGGGTCGCGACCGTTAAGCATATCGCGCACTTATGCGCAGCGCGGCGCGGCGAAGCGCGGCGAAAAACCGTGCAACGGATTAAATTTGTGTTATATAATGCACGTCCGCTGACTCAAGCGAAGCAACCGCTTGCACCGCGCGCCGAAGCGCCGTTCGTTGCAGACCTGGAATCCAAAGCGAGGAAATTCTCTTCGGCGCGCTTCGCGTGCCCTAGTGCGCGGTGCAGCGTTGCCAATCTTTGTGGAATTCCACAAAATGTGTGGAATTCGTAATAATGTTGTGGAACGTTTGTGGAATAGAATAAATGTGGAATTTTGTGGAATTTTCGGAATTATTCCTTTTTTTCTTTTTTTTTTCCTTATTTAGCTAATAGTAAAAAAAAATATTATAGAACTCATCATAATTTTACAGATTTCTGTAAAAAGAGCGTCGCCGTCGAGGTTAGCAGCTAGGTTCGGTATTTAGATCTGCAAGCAATCCGACGAAATTTTCGACATATCAGATATCACACGTCACTATATAATGTAAAATCCCTTTAAGATCACGTGGTTTATATAAAAAAAATATCGGATTGGTCGCAGACCTAAAGACCGAACCTGGCTAGTGATTGTGGAATTTTGTGGAATTTGGGTATGTTCGCCGTGGAATATAATTTTGGACCATTGGCAACGCTGGCGCGGTGGTCTGCGGAAACTATCTCTGTTTTCGGTCATTTTCGAAATCTATTTCGGGTGTCTTCGGATGAAGGATTCTACGATTAATGTATTACTAATTGGCATTTAGGTTACGTTTAATCAAGAGCCGTTTTGTTTCGTTTGAGTTTGTTTAGTACTTGTAATTTAATTATTGTTTTATCATGGATGATGAAACGTTCATTTTAATTATACAAAGTTATAAAGAGATATATGATATTGGAGATCCCAATTATCATAATCAATTGAGAAGGGACAATATTTGGGAAGAAATTGAAGAAAAATGCGGAATAAAAGGTATGAAATTTTAATTATTTCCCAAGTTTATGGAGTGGGTAGCGGTACATAAACGTAGTACGAATTTGTTGTACAGGGTGAGTGAAGGATAGACTAAAGTTCTTTGTTCATTATCTCATTTATTTTAACAATTACAACAAAAGACTACAAAGAACAAATTTTAGAGAAGTTTAAGAGATGCCCAATTTAATATTTCTTTTAAATGTAGAGAGCACATATTTTACGCAGAGATTCTGAGTAAAATTCTATAATTTTTTGTATATAGTTTTATATACCTAAAACTATTAGTTATCTATCTATACTAATATATAAAATCCTTAAGTGACTGACATACTGATTAATCACGATCCTGCTCAAACCACTCAACGTAAGAAGCTCAATTTTGGCATACAGGTTGATTCTAGGGTGTAGAGGTTCGATAAGAAGGGATTTTTCGAAATGCCAGTTCCAAGAGGGTGAAACCACCCCTCAAATATTACAATATTTTTTATTTAAAAAACGGTCAAGTTTCCGAAAAAACGCTTACACACGTATATTTTATTTTGTTGTTTTACATATTTTAAGATTTTTTATAAATGTATACAGGGTGTTTCATAAAATATGACCATAGAGTAATCACGATTCTGCTTAAACTGCTTGACGTTTAAAGCTGATTTTTGGCAAACGGATTGACTGTGGGGTGTAGAGGTTCGATAAGGAGGGGTTTCTCGAATCTCAAATTCCAAGAGTGTGAAAACGCCCCTCAAATATTACAATATTTGTTATTTAAAAAACGGTTAGTCTTTCGGGAAAACGCTTGGACAAGCATAATTTATTTGTTTTTTTTTTACATATTATGAATTTTTTTAAAAAATCATACAGGGTGTTCCAAAAAGTTGGGTAATTTCTTAACCACGATTCTGCTTAAACTGCTTGACGTAAAAAGCTTATTTTTGGCAAACCGATTTTTCGAAAGTCAAATTCCAACGAAATTTAATCTACAACTTATGCTGCCATATTATCAAGTTATATTATGATTTATATGAAAATTAAAAATATTTCCAAAATTCTCTTTGAAAAACAGGGGTTGAAATACACTACCCCTAAAATAAATTGCACTTATTTAAAACTCAAACAACCCTGTATAATTAGTCATCGTTATAATCTTATTATATATCTAGTTTTTTCTGCCTCTTCTAACCATTTCGACTTGCCAAGGTAATGAACCAGTCTCAGAAACAAAGTAATTCTTAAATTTTTCCCTGACATCTACTGCATAAAGAGATGGATTTCCACCAATTCCGGGGATATCTATTAGACCTTGAGGTATTGTTCTATCATCTTCTTGTTCTTCTTCTGAGATCCCACCACTTACATCACAATCTCTCAAAAAATTGTGAAGACAACATGTTGCAAGAACCACTTTATCCAAATGTTCAGGTGAAATTTGAAGCTTTCTTTGGTACAAACGAAACTTTTTTACTAAAATGCCAAACGCGTTTTCGGAAACCCTTCTTGCTCTACTTAGTCTATAATTGAATATTTTTTTGTCTTCTTGTCCTGAAGTTTGTGAGCCAGGAAATGGACGCATTAAATGTTCATGGAGAGGAAAAGCTTCATCTGCGACAATTACATGAGGCATTAATATATTTGTTCCTGGTAGATTTCTTTTTTCAGGAAAATCTAGCTCATCTTTAAAAAATTTCCTTCCAAATTCTGAAGAAGAAAATACTCCACCATCACTATTACGTCCATAAGATCCAACATCAATTGCCAAAAACCTATAATTAGCATCGACCAAGGCCAGAAGTATAATACTAAAACTTTTTTTGTAGTTAAAATAACGTGAACCGCTATTTGGAGGTTTATCTGTAATTACGTGTTTTCCGTCAAGGGCACCCACGCAATTTGGAAAATTCCATTTCCGTTGGAACTCTTCTGCTACATTTTTCCATTTTTCTTTGTTGGGTACTGGCAAAAATTTGGGGGATAGTACGCGCCATATTTCTTCACACACTTGATAAACTATCTCTCTAACAGTAGTTTCACCAAGTCGATAGCTCATTGCTATTGTTCCAAAGGTGTCTCCAGTTGCCAAAAATCTGTAAAAAACATAAAGTTATTTACTCGTTACTTAAAATTATCTTCTACATTTTTGTCTAAATACTCGTATAAGGTGAATAATAATGTTACCTTATGGTAAATTATCTTTTCAGCCGAAGAATGCCGAAAAAGATGGCGCAATTTGAGGGAGTGCTACAGAAAAGCACAGAAGTCCAGACAAACAAAAAGTGGACAAGCCGCTACAAAATCAAAGCCTTGGCGACTAGAACAGCAAATGAGTTTTATGAAACCATTTTTAGCAGAAAGGCCCCAACAATCAAATTATTCAACACAAGACATAATCAACACAGAACCTGAATCAGATGGTATAGTTGATACAGTTGTATCGGTTCCTTCACCGGCGTCACCATCATCCGCACCCAGCCCTTTATCTTCTATTTCACAAAGCAGTAAAAAAAGAAAGTATAGTTCTGTAAAAGAGACACCAACTTCAGTAGCACTTCAGGAATATGTCAATTATAAAAAATCAAAAATTCATACTCCCAAGGACCACTTAACAAAATATTTTCAATCAGTTGAGGAATCTGTCAGGACTTTTCCACCTATATTGCAGATTCAGGTTAAATCTAAAATATCAGAGATAATTCATGAAGCAGAATTAAAAAATATCACCTCGCCTACCACCTCAACATATACTCAAGTCGATGAATCCCCTCCTTCAGCATATCAACAGACTCTGTCTTCCCAAAGTACAAATATACATACACTGCCACCATATAAACCACATGTTTCTCAGCAGCAGTCATCTCAGTATAATTTAAATTATTCATCAGGCACGTATGGCATTCCAACACGACAGCATCAGCAGTCACTCGAGTGTCTTCCTATGCATACAACTCCAGCCCATTCTGAGGAGAATTTGCAATATTCACCTCAAAATTATAACAGCTTTTCTCTCAATGAACCACCTCGAAGTTATAACAGCTTTTCGCCCGATGAACCCGGACAAAAGTAATTTTTATTTATGTATTGCTATTTGTACATCACATATAAAATAAAGTATTTTCTACCAATGTACAGACTACTTAATTTAGAATAATGAAAAAATCTATCCATTTAAAAAAGCATGCATTACATAAAATAATATAAATTATTCTCTATTAATTTTATTTAGACAATATTAAAAACTTGCCTGAGACAAACTGAAAGTCTTTCGATAACGTCAATTGAGCAGCGAAATCTAGAATTTTGACGCTCTATACTTGGTCTTAACAAAGAAAGAAGTTCACTAAATTTTTTCGTGGGTCATTCTATAATACTTGAAAAATTTTCTTTCGTCTTCCAGAAGATCTGAGTGAAGGTGATGGAATTCTCCGTACGTATTTCTTTTATATTTATATTATGAATCAAGATTTTCTTTTTTTGTTCTCACGCATTTCTTCTTCCTCAGCTATTGTACATAAAGTAAGAAAATCTCCCCTCTGAACTGCTGCTAGAACTTGAGCACATAATGAAATTTTAACACACCTTTATCAAACCGTCATAGAGATAACACTAAAATTAAAACGGTCAGCTCAAAACAACTTTAAATACCAACCGCGTACGCAAAACCGTGCATAAGTTAGCGGACCCATCAAAAATTCGCCGCGCTGCGCCGCGCCGCGCTTCGCATAAGTGCGCGATATGCTTTATACGCGATCTGACGCTGCTATAGCGGTCGCTAAGAACAACGGCAAACAAAAACAGAAATAATTTTCTCTTGTCAAAGTCAGAATCTTCAAAAATCATAATAATCTTTCAAAATCTAAACCGCTCTCACAGGGGCGGGAAAGTGAAATAGCAAAAGCGGTTCCACCGTTTCCACGGAAATTTCAAATAAAATAGTTCCAGCCTCAGGCGCTAGGTGGTAGAGCAATTAATTTTTAGGTTAAGAAGTTGCTACTAGTTATTGCCAGATGGCGTTAAATCAGAATTTTTATGTAGTTTCTATAGTTTCCAACGGCCATTGTCATATTATTGTCAAATTCTCAAAAAATATTGTCGTTGTCATGGCGCCAATCATAATATTATCAAATAAATGATTATCAAAATGTTTTTCAAACTATAATTTGTTATATGTGTTTTAATTAGACAATTTCTTTTGTTTGTGGTCCTAAAAATATAATGTAAGTCTTTTATTTTTGCCATCATTTAAGTACCTACTTATATTTACTCCATTTACAAAACTTTGGGCGTATTACGTTGGTCTTGTTTTATTATAATAAACGATGTTTAAATATTCGACTTATAAATAAAAACTTTAAATAATAAATTATATTTCACATGTTTGGCTTTAATTTTATTTAATAATTGTATAAATTATACTGTTAAATCTTATTTTTTACACATCACAACGATACTTGTTATTAGTATTGTTGAATTTGTGTAAAAAATAAGATTTAATAATCAAGTTTAATTATTTTAGAGTAAAATTCAATAAATACGCTCAAAAAGCCCGCGCTTCGATCCATATAAAACAAGCCCTACTCAATAGATGGCGCCACTTCTGTAGGACAATTTTTCAGTATGGCAGAGTCATGGTACAAAGAAAACAAGGTATGATCGATAGCGGCTCCAATTTCGTTAAGTTTGCGCATACCACCTGTGACGTCATACGCCATACAAAAAAATATTAATATTGTCCAATTGCCACAAATAAAAAAAGACCTAAAATAGGGAAGAATTAGGACATAACCCCAAAAGTTATGTCAAATCATCGAGCTTGACACTTGAAAAATTATTTTCACATTTATTATGTCATCTGTTTGACAATTTGAAATTGGCGCGCAGAGCTTGCCGACCAATGGTGCCGTTTATCACCTGTGACGTAGTGACCAACCTGCGCAATATTATACCTTGTATTCTTTGTATCATGTGGCAGAGTCCATTCTTTTTCTAGCTAGGTATATTCTTTGCGCTCTCATTAAAGAAATTCCGAAAAGTGTTTATAGCGTCCATTTTCAAAGTAATTATTGCTATCTTGTGAGTTTAATTCAAGTTTTATTTACTCCAACCGGTGATAATTGTGAAAAAGTGGCATTATAAACTTAAAAAGCTGTGCTGTGAACTGTGAACTGCAAAAATCATCGTAAATCGTGGCATAACGTCGGTTTCCAATGTTTCATAGGGATTTCATACATGCGTCCTCATATAAAATAAAGTTTCTTGTATGCAACACACTGTATTTTATTTAAAAAATTAAACGAAAATAATAATAAATTTGAATAAACAATATTTGACGATATAATTCCGGAAAAAGCCGAACCGCTCCGAAATTCTCAAAAGTTTTGGGTCGCGACCGTTGCAAGAATAGCGCCAAATAGTGTTTACATTGTCCTTATGGGCACTTTCCAGTCTAAACTTGTTTCATTTATCTATGACGACAATTTTGCTGATAACGGCGCAATGTGACCAACATAGCAATAATAAAATTCGGTTTAAACAAAGGTTTAAACTAATTTTTGCAGCTTTAATCTAAATAAAATATCTGTGACAATCATTTGCTCTATAAAGTAAAATGAAGAGCTTTTATATAAAAAAAACTTAAATTGTACAACAAATTTAAACATTTTTGTCAAAATTTGATTTAGTCAGGTTTCGAGACTTTAGTGTCAATGTCGATATGATTGATGACGTGCATCGGAAAATGTTTTGCGATTACATTGTTGCACAAGAGTGCGCCATTTTTCGTTTTATAAGCGTTGTATAAACGTTTTTAAAATATTTACAAACACAATATTACTCTATAAAAATAGTTCTGTTAATCTTCTTACATAAAACGGACAGTTGTTAGTTGGGTGTAGAGTCTTGTTTTACTCTAAAGTTGTTGATTAATGAAGTAATTAATGTCTTAATATTAATTTCAAAATATTATCTTAAGTTATAAATAAAATCTAGATCTACGTACATAGTTTTTTAGCAGAGGCGGGTTAAACGGCGATATAGAAAACTTTCTGGGCGTGTAAAGTATCAATTGCACCCCGTCCACACTGCCGCGTCGAGACGACATTCAAGAAACGACTTTTTTTACCATAACCGATTTGATTGATTTCGATATTTTCAACGCGTTGGCCAAACAACTACAAATACCAACACCAAAATGTCTTATATATCGAGGCCAAAATAAACAACAAGGTCCTGGATCGGCACAAGAAAAAAATCTGGCAGTGGTCGAGAACGATACCTTGGGTCATTAGAGTGGCCAGTGTCTGAAAAAACGACTATTTGCAAGTTTAGAAGCGAAAATAAGATAATTCATTGTATATCATCGCGGTATTTGTCAACACGTTAGTTTATTATAAGTTAGAATGTATTTGAATTAATTTAATTTTAGTTGGGAAATGGCTTTAGGAGAACTTGCTAGATAATTTAATGTGTCACTTAATCAAAATTGTAAGCAAGCCAAATAATTGAGAATTTGATCGTAGTTTAATAAAACAAAATATTATGGTCGAAATTAACTCAATGTCGATGCTGAAATATAAACAACTCCAAACACACATGTTCAACAAGTAAACAAACCCAACAGTCCAACAGGTAAATAAATTTTTCAAATTATAGAGGGTAATTGAAATAGGATCCCCACTATTGGTATCTCGAAAACTATAAGGGGTAGGAGAATGGTTAAAATAGGATAGAGTTGCGCATTAATGTGCCTAATAATATGCCGTTTAGATACATTGAAATTCCAAGTAGTTCCGGAGATATTCGAGAAAAAACGTAAATCGAAGATTTTTTTCAAGTTATCTCAAAACTGAAAGAACACTTTGATTGACCGTTTTTTTCATCTACACAACAGTGTTTTTAGATATGTCATCCAACGTTTTTTATTTTCACAACCATCATCAACTTTGTTTTCTTATAGGTGTATATTAAGGTGCGTCCAGACTTGAACATTTTAGCCCGAACGATCAGAACGAACCAAATACGTAGGAACAAGCAGAATAAAATAGCCTGAAGAAAAAATCATTGAGTTCGCGCGAATATAAATTTTAATAAATGTTCCATCTGCTCGAAGTGTTTTGGTTTGGTTGTGACTTAAGATTGTGGTTAAGTTTTTACTAGTAAATTTACAAAACCAACTACCACTAACCAAGTATCAAGATAAAAACAAACATGAATGCTGATTTAGCAGTAGCTTTTAGTGCTTTTTTCATAATTTGTAAGGAGATAAAAATTAAGAAAAAACTGCTATGCCAGTGGATATGAAAATTGTATCTACATGTATCGAGTTACTAACTTGTGATGATGTCTGAATCATCGGGAAAAATAACTAAATCAAACTGCAATCCCAATTAAGCACATTCATCCAAGAAGCAACGTTCGAACAAATCAGTCTCTTTACCGCCAACAGACCAGAGAAAATAAAAATAATAAAAATCTTACATCGCCATCTATGAACCACCCGTTAAACCATGCCCAATATGGAATATAGCTTCCTGTAAAGTTTATAAAAATATTTATTATAATATTAAATAGGTACTACAACACTTGTTACAAGAAATGGATCAGTTTTAAACATTTTTCCCTATCCTACTACATTTTCAAATGAAAATTATGCCAGTGACAGAGCGCGAACGACATAAATGCTGCGAATAGCATGAACTCAATTCTTTTCTCGTCAAGTGAATAATTCGGCGAACGCTAAATCCTTTAGAGCAATTTCGATTTACCGACAGGCTCCAGAAAAAGTTTGGCTTGTTCGGATATGTTCGGAGACAGGTCCAGACTTATTCTGCTCTGCACATTTGGTTCGTTCTGTTCGTTCGGGCTAAAATGCTGTCTGGACGCACCTTTAGATTTTAAAACATCTAAATAAATAAAATCACTGCGATTCTAACGATGTACAATAAGTAATGGTTTTGATAGTGATGATAGGGGTAATAATTTGTAAAAAATCGTTTTTCAGCAGGCGGTTTTGGTTGTTTAGAAGAAAAACGTGTCATGTTAAAAAATTTATTACACATTTGATACTACTGAGTTCCCTGATTGTTTACAAAATATTATTTGGACTAATCAAAGAACTATTACAAATTGTGATGTGTTCTATACAAATAATGAATACATTTGAAGCGCAAATAATCCCAGGCACTTCAGGGAAGTTAGATCTCAAGTTCCAATGTAAGGGCATCGAGTTGGCTAGTCATCAACTCGAGGTAGGAGGGTCATGGTCAGGTCCTCACAATAGGAATTGACATTATATCTAAGGAGGGAATAGAGAAAGACAGATATA